ATATATATATATATATATATATATATATATATATATATATACATTTTTTTATGTTTAACATTCCTTTTATAGATACAAATATTTAAGTAAATGCTCCGTTTATAACAAACAGTGTAAACCGACATTTACCGGCATGAATGTCCGAGAAATTTTCACAGAAAATATTCGTCCTCCGACAGGTTTCATTTAGCTTGACGTGCCTTTACCGATTTGGCCACAAAGGAACGTTCGGCTAGCAAGGTAGAGTTTTCTGTATTTAAACTTCAATCTACCATGAATCTCTCACTTACATTCATATCTGCTCATGGCGTATCAAATGTAAACAAATGACGTCACACATTATGAAATGGAGAAAGTCCGACAATTATTTTAAGACATTTTTATGTTTAACATTCTTTTTATAGATACAAATATTTAAGTAAATGCTCTGTTTATAATAAACAGTATTAAATAGCATTTACTGGTCTGAATGGAAAGTCCGACAATAGGATACAGGTTCGAATCCGTCAGAGGACGAATATTTTCTGTCAAAATTTCTCGGACATTCAGGCCAGTAAATGTTGTTTAATACTGTTCATTGTAAACAGAGCCTTTGCTTTAATGTCTTAAAATAATTGTCGGATTTTCCATTTCATATATATATATATATATATATATGTATATATATATATATATATATATATATATAAAAGCTGGAGATTCGTATTCCAGGATAAGCGTCTATTAAGGTGGCTAGGCAATCCCTATTGCAGAGGCTCGCTCAGGCACATTTGTGGTGTATACTGCAACTATGCCGAGCAGAACAAAGTTACAGTTTCTGGGAGAGAGCCTGTTATGTAGCGTGATCAACAATCTGAGCAATAAACACACACACGCTTGCCCATAAAATCAATAATAAAGCCAAATATCCCACCCAGTGAGAACAACTTTCACTCATAATATTCCTTAAATTCAATTTAATCGGAGGATGTTTATATATATATATATATATATATATATATATATATATATATATACATGTGTGTGTGTGTGTGTGTGTAAAATATATAGAAAATAGGAAAGAACTCGTTACGTGAATAATCCAAAGTTCATTAGTATTTTTTGTTATTATTTAAAAAAAACAGTGCTCGATACAAAAGTAGAGCATAAATATAATTATTTATTTAAAAATATGATGCGATGGAATCATATTTTAAATAAATAAATATATATATATATATATATATATATATATATATATATATATATATATATATATATATATTCACGCAGGTTTCGTTAAATAATTTAGACAGGTTCTGTCTACTTATTTCTTTCATATTCGCCAATACATTTTTGTGCGGTAGTTAAAAGACGAGATGAAAACACCGAGTTGTCTCATATTGTATTTATTTCCGACGGCCTTCGACATAGTATAATGTCATCATCAGGGTATTGTTAAATATAGAGTAAGTAATTACTTTTCTTGTATGTGAAGGACAAAATATGTTGTAGTCTTCCGAAGATTACCATTTTTATATGTGACGTCACGAACTCTGCGTCATAGCTGGTTGACATACACCGTTTTTAAGGGTAGGTAACTAGGTATGCTTTTAAAAATGTTTCGGGATGTAGTAGTTGGTAAATAAATGAAAAATTACTGACAAGCGCTGGGTTTGGTTTGGTTTATTTTCTTTTACGTGATATCCTCCTCAATGGTTTTTTTAAATGCCGACAACATCTTTTTATTGCTGGTAATAGTTAACTATTTGCCCATAGCTGGGACCCTCACAGGTGCTACCACTCTGGATCAGGGTGGACCTGAGAACACCAGCAATTATGAGGTAGTTCCACTCTCCTCAAAACCTCCTGATCAGAGGCCTTGCTGCTGGATGTAGTTTATCGTCTTACCCAGGACGCTGACGTAGTTTAACGTCTTACCCAGGACGAGATGGAACAGTGATCAAAACAGCAAGACGAGCAGTTTGTTTTACACTTCCACGTAATCTTCAAACTGTCACGACTGTGTTTTATTTTCGATGCCCACTTTCATACGCACAATCCCTTATATTGACCAATTTAAACCCTCAATATAGCATAACTTAAACCTCGTCTCGAAAAGGACCACCAATCGGTTGCGAACTGGGGCAGGCATTGGCTGGTTAACTTTAACGCCTCAAAAACAAAACTGCTCTCTAGTAATCACCACAAAGATCCTTCCCTGTCCCCCCCCCACTTAGAATGTCTGACGCTCAACTTCTCGAGAGTACATCTTTGTGGGTGCTCGGTATCACATTAACTGCTGACCTGAGATGGAACAAATACGATGAGTCAATTTCTTCGTCCACCGCGAGGAAAGTTGGCTCCCTGTGCCGCGCCAGGAAATTTTTCTCCCCGGAATCGATCCTTCAAATCTACAAATCAAAAATTCGTCCTTGCATGGAGTATTTGATGCTGTTTGTCTCGTGGTTCTTGATAAGATCCAGAGACGGAAATGCAATGTAATTGACCCTGATCTGGCATCTTGTCTGCAGTCGCTCTCTCACAGACGTGCCATCGCCTCTCTCTGTCTTTTTTTACAAATTCTTTCATTGTAATTGCTCCGATGAGTTGGTTTCGCTTGTTCACAGACTTCATGAATTCAAGCGTCCTACGAGGCTGGCATCCTGCTCTCACCATTTCTCTGTTGAAACTGTTAAATGTAGCCGTCTCTTCTACTACAATAGTTTCATATATCGCACCTCGCGCCCGTGGAACACCCTTCTGTTTTCCTGATAGCTATAATCTCCAATTATTCAAATGTAATGCCAATTGATATCTCCAATTGCCATGATCTATCCACGATCCTTCTCCTCATCCTTTCCTCTATCACTCCTATCTGCTCTAGCTCTAACTCATCTGTAACCCCTTGCTAGTGGCTTCCCGCCTTGCTTGGGGGTAAAATGCTACACACACACACACACACACACACACACACACACACACACACACACACATATATATATATATATATATATATATATATATATATATATATATATATATATATATAATATAAAGAGGTTATAGCAGTTCCAACGAGAGAAAAGCGTGTACATTAAAAAGAAGAGAAGAGAGGTGCCGCAAACGTTTTTGGTTGTAATATGGATTTTTTTTTAAAAATATTATGTTTTATTTTCCATAATTTTACTACACGTGTTTCTGGTCTCACGACAGTCTTCAGGTAAAAGGCGGAGATTTCCATGTATTATTAAAAATAATTAATTTCTTTCTTTATGTTTTTCAATGTTAAATATTTTCGATATGAGACATTCTCTGTTTTTGTGTTAGTAATCAGAATGACTTTATGCGTGTCTATATTGAAATTTTTATCAAACTTCATAATTATACTCTATTGATGATTTCACGATTTCAGGAGATTGAACATCTGTCACTGATGAGTGATTCGTGCCGAAACTCTTGAGTCTGTCAATCAGATATTAAAATCTTTATCTTAATATTTTAATATGAAAATTCAGAAAGGTGATGAACATAACTCCGCAGATTCCTTTTCTTAATTATCTTTGAACCGCCTCGCTATCTTAGGATATATAGCGGTATCGATTCCAGCTGTCTTGTCTACATTTTTGAATTCATCATTTTTTTCTTCCTCGAGATTGGTTTCTGTCCCATGATAGAGAGCCACGTCTACACTGGTATTTAGTATGTAGGCGGTCAATAAGGAAAACGGATTGGTTCATGCTTTTCAATAGGAAATCTGTGCGAAGTTGAATGCAACAGACTCGCCCGGAATTTGAACTGTGTCTGCCGATTACACTTTTCACATTGAGATGAATTCAAATTTCTAGCTACAATATATATAAGACGAATTTTAATTGACTTTGTTATAAAATTTTACTGATTTAGCTAACTTTAGTTTATGTTTGCGTACATCAATATTTCTGTCAGCTCACGTAGTCTACACAGAATAGGGCTGAGAAAATGAGGTTTTTATTCACTAGAACCTGAGCACTGGAGTTTGAAAAAACCATTTCAACAAAGGAAAAGGCAATAACGATGAGAAAACAATTTATCGCCCATTCATTATCTTCTCAATGGTTTATTTAGACGGAGCTGTGATTATTGTATTATTTTGTTTGTATCTCATTTTAATGTATAGCATAGTTATTACCAAGTGTTAGCCGTCGTGCAGGAAGTTATAATGTGTGAGGCAGACACTCACAGTTAACTACACGATAAAATTCCAAAGAACAACAACAAAGAAAATAATAATAATAATAATAATAATAATAATAATAATAATAATAATAATAAATTTTACAAAATAAATCAGCCCGAATGCAGTTGAGGCTGCTCTCTTTCATTGCCGAGCTGAAATGATTTCCGTAGTTTGACGTCTGCGCAAAAGCAATTATAAAATGTTGCATTCTGATAATAGATTCTATATTGGAATTTGAAATTGTTCAATTGCAAATTTCGAGAAAGTTTATTGGAATTCTTTCTGTATATTTTTATTGATTTTTGTGTCCATTTTTAGTAATTTATTTAAGAAAACTTTTTATTTATCCATCAACAATCAGAACAAACGCTAAATTTATTTACAGGATTTATTATTTTGCTCTACACAAAAATGATATGATGGTTCCAATCATATCCGTCACATTCTCTGCTTGGCGTTTTACAAAATAAATAAAATCAAGAAAGAATGAAAACAAAAAGACGTGACTACTTCAATCGAGCCAAACAAATGGATTCCAAATGAATGCCAGGCAAATAAACCTTTTAAAACGGAAAATGATTTCGCTTACTATATTCTTTTCATCTGGATCTCCCAATCACCTAATTTGTAACATTTCGTCATCAAAATCATCAGCATCAACTTCTCCGCAGCATTTCTCTTAATCTCCTCCTTGTTAGTAATTTCGGTCTTATTCTAAATCTTGTTCTCTTTCTCACTCTGCTTCGTTTTTCTTTTCTTTTTTTATTTAGTCTCAATCCGTGCTATTATTCACATACTTGCTATGTCCTTGCATATTCTTATTCGTTTTCTTATTCTTATTCTCGTTCTTGTTTCTTTCCTCTTTTTATTCTCTTTCTTGTTTTCGTACTGATAATGTTCTTTTTATTACTACTATTATCATTCGTAATTTTTTTTCTATTTACTTTTCTTATTCTTTTGTCGTATATTCCCATTCTTGTTCTCATTCCTGTTTTCTTCACTTTGTTAATCCTATTTTAATATTAATTCTCATTCTTGTTCTTATTTCTATATCTCTTCATATCTGATTACTCCACTTCTTTCTGTCTTTCCTTCAACTATTTACTTCATGATATTCTGTTCATTTATTAATTTTAAGCCATTCTTTTATTCCTTATATTTTATTTTTTTTATTATTGGATATTTTTTATTCTTTTTTTTTTTAATTGTTTCTTTTTTATACCACTTTTCATCAACAAACCATTTTCGGATATATTTAATAGTCTTTATTTTCCTTCTTTTTGTACCACCACTGATATTCTTTCTTTTTTTTTCTTTCTTTTTTCTTTCTTTTTTCTTTCTTTTTTCTTTATTTATTTTCTTAAGGTTATTATATCCATTGTAGTCTTCTTTCATTCTTTCTTTCTTTCTTTCTTTCTTTCTTTCTTTCTTTCTTTCTTTCTTTCTTTCTTTCTTTCTTGTTCTATGTCTATTATATTCACTCTATTCTTTCTTTCTTTCTTTCTTTCTTTCTTTCTTTTTTCTTTCTTTCCTGAGCCTATTATATTTACTCTATTGTTCTTTTTCACTTTATTTCTCTCTTTCTTTTCATCCTTGATATACTCTTCTCTTATATTACCTTTCATGTCTCCCTCATACTAATTCACCATCAGTATTCATTTCTATTACAAATGATTTAAAAGTCATATTATTCCCCTCGCCAACTTCAATCTAATTTTTTTCATATCAACACATTTTTCCTTCTCAACGTTATTGCCCTTTCTATCTCTGTTTACATGTCGCTCTCTGAAACTCCAGAATACATCTTTACCTTCCTCATTGGCGCATCGAATAAAGACAAATCATGTAACTTGCAATTTATCCTATCATTTAATGTTCATCATTAGTCTATCTTTCTAATGAGATTTCTTTTTCCTTTCTATTCGTTTTTCATTTTCTTAATCTTCGACGAAAATACACCAGAAACTGATTGAAATATTACACATAGAGAAATGTATTTTCAAACCATAATTAAACGCTCATTGCTTTGTCGTGACCTGGAAAGAAACTATTAGATAAAAGTCTGAAAATCAATCTCGCCATTTATTATAATTATTATTTTTAATCCGTTGTTTAAAAGAAATTCTCTTGACGATTGGTTGCCTCACATTTAGTTGGTCTGATTGTTTTTGTCTTAAAGCTTCATTTCCCTGGTGGACAAATAGATTTCGTTTTAATATTTATTATTATTTACATTAATAGACATTTAAGAATATCTGCGACCGATGCTCAATTCGAATGTTAAACACGATGCAACAAAATCATGGCCCATTGGGGAACTTCAATCAAAACGAACACATTTTCTTTTTGAGGATTCCTTGTGAGTTAACGCACACGCAGAATTAAAATGGAAACATAAAAAAGATAATTTTTGATGGTGTCATTATTTTAACATTATTATCTACATTAATAGATATTCAAATTCAATATAATTAAAATTTAATATGAGATTTAATATAAAATTTAATTAAAATTTAATGTAATAATTGACATTAAAATGGAAACTTAAAATATAATTTTTCATTGTGCCATTATATTACCATTATTATCTACATTAATAGACATTAAAATTTAATATAAGTAAAATTTAATATAAAATTTAATTAAAATTTAATATAATTAAAGACATTAATAGACATTAATATGGAAACATACAAAATAATTTTTCATTGTGCCATTTTTTTGCCATTATTGTGTAGTCGATTTCTGCGCGTAAAATTGTTTAATGATAACGAGAAAATAATTATGAAATTTAATCATCCTTTCAAATTACTTGCAATATTTACATCATTCGGACTGTTAACCTCATCTACATTGCCGCATTCACAACGTTTCGTCTGTTGTACACTCTGGTCTTCTTCAGGTATTGGAAAATTCATATCGAACCGTTTATTTCGTCCACCGGTGTATATTGTTCTAGTTCTACGGTGGACGATATAATGGTTTCGGTTCGAAATTCCAATCACCTGAAGAAGGCCGGAGATTACAATGGCCGAAACATTGTGAATATCGCAATAAAGATGAGGTTAACAATCCGAATGATGTAAATATTGCAAATAATCATAATGCTTCATCTCAGTGATATAGACAAATTTTCAAATTTCTGTCTAATTTCGATTGAAACTCATACATATTGATGAACATGAAACGGTGACAAAGACGAAGACATATATAATGTTTCAACAGGAACCTTTTTTCATTAACAATGAAATGATATCCCAATAATATCTTTATTGTTCTCTTTATTTTTCCGGCTGTAACAAACTTTACATAATTAGAACTACCCACCATACGGCAGGATATTCTCTTCTCGCTTATCTCCCTGCAGTTAGGTTCTAGATACGAATAAATTGATATAAAAAAAGCTGATCTTAGTGAGCGATAGATATGATGGACCGATTCATAGATAGACATGAATAGATTGAAATAGTCATGAATAGATTATTATGAACTGGTATGTATGACTAGACGATTGTAGATAGAGAGAAACAGAGAAATATGCATTGATATACTGAAGTTCTATCAATATAGGTAATAGTAAAATAGATTATTTTTTTTCTTTTACATCCATAAGCACTTGCAGGCAATGAGAGATTTTGATGGAAATTAAGCTATTGCTGAATTTCTCTTTTCTTTCTTTCTTTCTTTCTTTCTTTCTTTCTTTCTGTTTTTCTGTGTTTATTTAGTCTTTCTTTCTGTTTTTCTTTCTTTCTTTCAACCTTTCTGTTTAATTTATGTAGTTCTTTCTTTCTTTTGTCTTGTTATTCTACATTCACATACTTCCTATGTCCTTGCATATTCTTATTCGTTTTCTTATTCTTATTCTCGTTCTTGTTTCTTTCCTCTTCAACTTTTTATTGTCTTTCTTGTTTTCGTACTGATAATGTTCTTTTTATTACTGCTATTCTCATTCGTAATTTTTTTCTATTTCCTTTTCTTATTCTTTTGTCGTATATTCCCATTCTTGTTCTCTTTCCTGTTTTCTTCACTTTGTTAATCCTATTTTAATATTAATTCTCATTCTTGTTCTTATTTCTATATCTCTTCATATCTGATGACTCTACGGCTTTCTGTCTTTCCTTCAACTATTTACTTCATGATATTCTGTTTATTTATTAATTTTAAAGCCATTCTTTTATTCATTATATTTTATTTTTTTCATTATTGGATATTTTTTATTCTTTCTTTTTCATACCACTCTCTCTCTTTCTTTCTTTCCTTTTGTTTTTCTTTCTTTCTGCCTTTCCCTCTATCTTTGTTTATGTCATTCTTTTTTACTTTCTTTCTTTTTGTCTTTCTTTCTTTTTTTCTTTCTTTCTTTTTGTATTCCTGTCTTTATTTAGTCTTTCTTTCTTTCTTTCTTTCTTTCTTTTTGTCTTTCTTTCTTTTTTTCTTTCTTTCTTTTTGTATTCCTGTCTTTATTTAGTCTTTCTTTCTTTCTTTCTTTCTTTCTTTCTTTCTTTATATCTGTCAATATTTATTCATGTCTTTCGTTCTTTCATTCTGTCTATCTTTCTACACAATTCAATTAAACGAATTGCGTCTTATTTTCTTTTTAAAATAGAAAAAAGGACGCATACATGTCTCTGTTTTCACAGCCTCCGAGCTAATAACAAAGAAAGATGTTTTAAAATTACAAACAACACCTGTTTCATTAGAGTTCTTCATTATCCAAAGAGTTTTATAAAAAAAAATCAAACTCCATTTTCTGCACGAATCATTAGTATTATCTTAAAAATATGTTTGTATATTTGTACCTGAAGCTCAAATTCAATTTTTGCTTATGTACTCGAAACATTAGCTTTTATGAAAATTTAAAACATCTTTAAAAACTCCTTCTGCAGAAAATCTTTCAAAAATTAACCCATCCTAATTCAACATCTTCTATTCTGTAAGAATTGGAGTCAATTAGTTTATTATATGAAAATGATATGTTGTTTCCATTGATATTCTCTGCGTTATGTACTTGTCGATTTAAAAAAAAAAAAAAAAAAAAAAAAGGAATAAAGAGAAAACGACTAGTCTACTCCAGTCAGTTCAAACAAAACATTCGAAATGAATCTTAAGCAAATAAAACCCTTAAAACGAGAAATTACATCCCTTTACTACATTCTTTTCATCTGGACCTTCCTGCAACACAAATTGAAACTGTTCATTATTATCATCCTCAGCAGCAGCAGCACAATCAACTCCTCCTCATCATTCTTCTATCTGTTAATCTCGTTCCTGTTCTTAATCTCGTTTCTATTCCCATTCTCATTTTTACCCTTGTTCTTTTTTTATTCGAGTTTCCATTCGTGTTATTATGCATAACATTGTGACTATTCTGTTCTGGAATTTATTTTAGAGGTAGTTTTCTTTATATTTTAATTTTTATCTTGAATTTCTAATGAATATATCGCGTTAAAATAAATTAAAACTTAGTAAACTTCAAAACAGATCCGGACTGTTATCGACATCTTTGTTCCGTTTGCTATAGTTCCCTCTGGTGTATATCGATCTGAGTAAGCAAATAAATTCTGAAATTATCCCTTTATTTAATCTACATGTGATTACTGTTCTTGTTTCGTAGGCTATATCTTCTAGTTCTTATTCCTATTGCCGTTTAGTTCTTGCTCGACCCTTTCGATAGAGTGTGCGAAGGAGAACAGGCGTATTTTAAAGACAGTGTACAAGAAATATGCCGTGATATACTTACAAATAAGTTCACATTTTGGATACAATGTTCGGTTAGCAAAGAATAATTACAAGTCAACATATACATTTACACATTTAAAAATATTTAGAAAGTGAAAGCGTAAACATTAAAATTACACACATCCGAGTAGGAAATATAGTACGTTTAAAATTAGTTTACACTACTGACATTGTTCGGACAGTTGTCCTCGTCATTATTGAAAAATTCACAACGTTTCGGCCGTTGTTCACTCCGAACTTCTTCAGATGATATAAGTTGGAATTTCGAACCGAACCATTTCTTTCGTCTGCCGCATTGGATTATTCTAATTCAACTTACCATGTCTTTTCTGGATAACTTAGTTTCAGTTGTTTCCATGTAGTAATTATACTCTTCAATTTTTTATTCAATGCTACTGTGTCCAAGTATTGAACTCATAACACTTTGGGTCAATTCACTCTTGCCAACTCTGGATTACTTCAACACAAGCTTTTATTCACTGGGTCTTGGGAATATCAGTGAATTAATTTTGGGGACTGATAAATCTAATGTCTCAGTAACCATTTTTTTACCAGAGCTCATATTACAATTTGTTGCTATGGTTAAAGTTTCAGTTTTGAAAATGGAAATTTCGGTGTTACGTTGAAAAAGAAAACAAAAAAAATCAATTATAATATATATATATATATATATATATATATATATATATATATATATATATACTGCTCACGAAGTATCAATATTTATAAGAAAAATGCTAACACCAGAAGAGAATCAGAGTCCTTCCCTCCCTACATAGAACAATTGGTTGTTCTTTCTTATTTCTCTCGTCAAAATCGGCATAGGTTTAGTACCAAGTGCATGTGTAATCAGTCTTTTCAAACAAATATCGAAAAGCTCCATCCTTCTTGAACCAGTCAAACTTTGTAGAGACAACCATAATTTCAAACAGTGTAAAAATATACATCACATCAGTGCAATGTTATACGAAGTGACCTGTTTTGTGATGCGATGATGATAAATTCAGTAGAATAACAAACACGAAATCAGACAGTGATAAGATCAAGAATGTTAACTGAACTTCGCCCAAGTCTTAGCGTTGTGCTTGTGTTGATTTGAATAAATCATATTTCACATATTTATCAGTGCAAAGTTCAAAAAAAAAAACAAAAAATCTGATGCCAGCTAGAATTCGACAAGTACACTTTTAGCACCACTGATCGAAAAGTTATCAACCTAACTAAGAATCTTCAACTATTTATCTTGGTGCAAATGCGAAGTAGGAAATATATTTCATCGTTATGCACGAAAATAAGTATCGATTGAATGTTAAGACGTAATGCTGCAGTTAGAAAATCGTTTGCTTGTGCCGAGGAAAGCGTTTTGCTTGAGGAAGTTGTATTTGGCGGGGAATTGGAAGGGATTTGAATTTTAGATTTCTTCAGAAAAAATCGTTAAAAACAAAGAAAAGAGTATTTAACAGTTACGTTACATATATGTGCTTTTGTATGGCAGCGAATGTTGGAAAATCTCCTCAAAGTTGAAGAGATGACTTCAAGCAACAGAAATGTTGTTATACAGAAAAATACTGAGGATACCATGTTAGCAACGATTAAGTTTTAGAGGAAATGAAAAAAAAACAACAAAAAAAACAGCCTTATACTTAACATCAGGAAGAGGTAGTTAAAATATCTGGGACACGTAATGAGGAAAGAGGAATTGGAAAATCTGATACTCATCCGACGATTGAAGGAAAGCGGGACAGAGGAAAGAAGCGTGTGCAATACTTAATGTTCTCGAGTCAGTGGTTTGTAGAATGGGAGAAATAACAAAAAAGGCAAATCTTGTTAAGTGCTACGTGGGGGAAGAAAGATGTGGATGGTCATGAACGCCTAATTCTTGAAGGGACAAGGCAATATAAAGAATATTTTGCACTCACTCAATCAGAATTTTTGAAAGTTTCAATACTCTTTTATTTCAATATTTAAAAATATGATTTTAGGTCAAAAAAGATAAAAATACTCGCTCCTAGAACTTTTTAAAATGAGTATTCCACAATTTATCTCTGTAAATATATATATATATATATATATATATATATATATATATATATATATATATATATATATATCGGCGTCATATACAAAAAATAAATAAATACGCACATGTTTATAAATTTTGTTTCATTAAGACGGATTATATATAAGGGTATTTTTTAAGGCGGATTATATATAAGGTATTTCATTAAAACGGATTATATATAAGGGTGTTTCATTAAGGCGGATCAACGTCAGGAATATACAATCTAGTGTCACTGGCAAAAATTTATTTCTCTATTTGATCATGTTATTTAAATCATGGCAATTATGTCATGCCAAATCTGAAAGAAAAAAATCAATCATTAGACTTTTAAAATTAATTCACATTAAAATCGGTCCAAGTTCTTGGCAACACACTTTACAAGTACATTCGAAACATTGCCGAGTAATGGACGTCTATTATCTTGTATGCTAAAAAATTTTACTTTATATTTGAATTTCTAGAATATGAGATGATCATTATTTAGATTATTTACTGGCAGGTTATTGCTCTCATCTTTGACAATAGTACACATGTAAATAATGTAAATAAAAATGTTGTGTTTGTAAAATCCTCAATGGGAGTTTTAATGCATTTGATTTCAAATTTCTTTTTGGCCATTATTCAACACGCGACCTGTCACAGCTTCATAATTTTTTCTATTATTATTTATTCCAAAATTTAAACAATAAAATTTTAGGATGTAATCATATGAAATAGTAACGCTTTTAATTTTAGTAATTTTTTTCTTCATCTAAGCTCGGTATAAAGGCAAACGGGAAAGATATATCTTCGTCATTAAAAAAAGAATGCCAAACAATTTTCAAAAATGGTCACCCAAAGTATCAGCAATAATTGTTATAGTTTTAATGTTTTATCGTGAAAATTAAAGGGCGAAGCGACACTTGAATGGAAATCATCAGGTATTGGAATAACAAAATTCTAGTTCACCATTATTCCACACTCAATATATCACAGATCAAGAAATGTTTACTACGGCTTTTTTTATCTCAAAATTTGAAAATAAAAGTTTAGGGTAAAGATGTAAAATTAATCGTACTCAGAATCTTTTAGTTGATTCATTAATTCTTCTTAATTTTGTTTTTATATTTTCTGCCGCATTTTCAAATGTCAGCAATAAATTATAATCTCTCCTCTTCATTCAAAGTAGACTTAATCAATCACCATTAACAAAATACATTTGTACACATTTGAAGAATGGCGTCACGTATTTGTTATATAATTTTATTTTTCACTGTATTAAATTCAAAGCAACACTTGTCAATCGGCATCTCTTGCAATTCTGTTATCATCACGCGGCAATATTTAGGCAGATTAAATGTGTAGATTGCTTATCTCACGAGATAATAAATTATTGAGTTTACTGAGTAATGGGCCATTGTTTTTTTTGCTGTATAAAATAGATTTTTCCTTTAAGAATTGCTACTTTCTATTTCTCTTGCGTCGTCATGACTGTTGAGTTACGATGATTTTTCTTTTTCTTTTTTTTGTTTTTGCACAAATATAATTTATTACCAGCAACATTCAGTTCAGTTATCTCTTGTCTCGTATAGTCTGCTGACTGCTACATCTTAGGTTCTTTTTAGTGTACAAAATATAAATTTTCCCCAAGGAAAGTCAGTTCAAATATATCCTTCGTATTATGGACTCGAATTCAGAAAAAATAGACCGTTTTATAAAGAAAGAAATTGGAATAAGCGGAGTCAGT